TGACAACTACTGCCTCTACAATTCTAACTTCATAAAGGCCATAGATAGACTACGTTTGATCATTACAAATTAGATGATCTTAGTTGAGTCAATTAGCTAAAGTGGATCTTAGGTTTCGTTATCTATGAAAATAAGGACTAATATGCTAGTCCTTTACTATCTCTCCTGACTGCTACAAGGATTAAATAAGATTTTGAAAACTACAAAGCATAACACAAATGATATTAGGATAGACACTTCAAAGTCTCTGAATAAATATATAATTCAAAGTACCAAGAAATTAACTATGTCATACCAGCTTACAATTTGCAAGCTTGAGAAAACGATGTTAGGTGAATTATGATTTAGGCATGTTAGAGAAAGGAAAATCTGTACTTAAAAAAAATGAAAATCTTCTATTAAAAATCACATTTTGAAATGATGTGATCTACAATAGTAATTAATTCTCACTTTAGAAGAAAAATTAATCAAACAACTATATCATTTTATTACATCAGTAAAATGTTAAATCACTTTTTAATAAACATCCAAACATGCTTTTGAAGTTTAAGCCAAATGTATTAACTCCTAAGTACATCTAAAACATTAAATCTCAATTTTCTCATACTATATAACAAAAACAGTCCTATACAGAAAACATTAAACTCTAATTTCAATCAACTACAGCCCCTACTCCCCCTTTGTCCAAACACACACACACACACACACACACACACACACACTCATTGAACTGCTATTAATAGCAAAATCAGGTTTCTCCCTTTTTGGGCACTCTTGAAGGAAAACAATAAAGTAACTTAAAGCCTGGAGGAAGGGGAAAAGGGAAGAAATGTTTTCTGAGAGGTTATAATCTGGATTGGGGTCACTCTGTTTTCATAAAGTTTTACAGTACAGACATGTTCTTATTATCTACTGCTTTTACTACAATGGCAGAGTAGTTGAAATAAGACCATAAAGCCTATGGTCCTTTACAGAAAAAGCTTGCCAAATACTGATCTAGATCATCAATACTGAAAGAGAAAATATATTCCCAATAAATCAAAATGTTTTCTTTTATAGTAAGATTACTACTTCTTCTCTCCTATCTTGACTCTTATTTTGGACCTGCTGGGATGGCGTTACTCTGGCCACATTTTTCACATCTTCAATACTACTATCCAGGTCCAAGTCACCCTCTTTTCTCCCTGGACTACTGCAACTGCCTCTTAGATCTGATCTTCTTGTTCTCCCTTAATTCACGATAACAATCTAGCCTCAATCATGGCAGCCCAGATGGATCCTTTAAAAATCTGTCAGATCATGTCATATCTTTACTCTCTAAACCTTTCAATGATCCCCTACCCCAATTTCATTAAGAATAAATGCCAAGGTCATTATAACAGCCTATAAACCTTTATATTAATCTCCCATTTCCTCACTTATCCTCTAGCCACAAAGTATTCTTTTCCCAAATATCTATGAAACTAACTCAATTACTTAAGGCACTCAAATAAGGCCTATCCAGGCCAACCCTACCCTGGAACTCCCTATTTCCTTAGCTTCTAACTATTATGTATACTTAATTTAGGTTTATGTTTACTGTTTATCTTTCATTCTACCCCCTGAGATAAAGTGCAAGGACCTGGAACACTGTAGTGGCCCCTCCTTGGGTTTTCCAGACAGTATCACTACAGAAGTGATCTTCCTTCCAAGGAGTGGCTGATGGGTTTGAACCACTAGCCATCTGGTTAGCAGTCAAATGCCTTAGGCATTACAGTACCAGAGCTCCTTCCTGGAAAGAAGGGAGGGAGTATAAATGGTGCTTGGTGCTAATGAACTAAGCAAGTGAAAATATGTGCTTTTCTTTAAAAATTATTATTATAAGCATTTGAGCAGGAGGGAGGCAGGGAGGAATAGAGAATAACTTCTAAATTAAACAAACAACTCCAAACCTTTAATTTTCTAGTTGAACCCCTTTAAAATAAAAACTATCAAAAATATACATTTTTTTTTTAAGAAAAAGATTTGCAGAAGAAAGCTATTTAAAACTGTCAATTTAATTTTTGAAAAACAAACTACGTGCCACTACTGAAACATACTGTTTTAATAACCATTTCAAAATATTTAAACTTGGTCAATCAATATAATGGGAGCTCTGGTAGTATAATGCCTAAGGCACTTGACTACTAACCAGAGGCTAGTGGTTCAAACCCACCAGCCACTCCTTGGAAGGAAGGTTGGGCAATCTACTTCCATAGTCGGAAATCCAAGGAGGGGTCACTATGAGTGGGGTCTGACTTGAGGGCACGTAACAAGAACAACAATCAATGTAACTTCACACATGGAATACCTCTAGCTATAATTTTATACAGCCACTCCTCGGAAGGAAGGTTGGGCAATCCTACTTCCGTAGTGATACTGCCTCGGAAACCCAAGGAGGGGTCACTATGAGTCGGGGCCGACTCCACGGCACATAACAACAACAACAACAACATAACTTTATAAGCATTTACTCCAAACATCTTACACCCCAAACTTGCTTCCAAAACACAAATGAGATTGTGGTAGTCAATTCGAAGCAGTTAAGACTACGAAATAATGCCAAAGTTGATGTCACATTACTAAGGTAGTAACATAATGTAGCAAATCAGTGTCTTGTGCCTATCCCCACAATCCCAAATGACTGCCACGGCAGTTGTTAGCAATGTTTTCCGCTTCTGAGAATGAATAAAGACAACAGTTAACATACCAAAGCAATAACAGCTACCCTCTGATTCAGAGGTCATACTATATGTATTTGGTTGCCTTTAAATCTTAATAAATGTAAGACTTTGGAATATTACATATCCAAAATATAACTGTACTTTCTGAAAAACAATAAAAGAAATCTTGTATTTTTAAATGGTATTAATTGAACTAATTTTGTTAAGGAACTTCTGCATGACTAAAGGTGGCAGAACATTCTAAGACACCATTATACATTTCTACTTAAAGAAGTGTTTATCCATCAAATGATATACAATAATATATTGTATATTATAATTCCCAGGTCAAGGCATGAGAATAATTTCTGGTTTAATCCACGATTAAGTACTTTTAAAATTAATACAGCAATAGCTGCCATTTACTGAGTGTTACTGTATGTCAGAAGTTATGATCAGTGCCTAAATGTATTTACATGATTTTTAATCCTCACGACAACCCAATAAGGTTGTTATATTATCTGCATTTTATATAGAAAGAAACAGAGGCTCAAATAAATTTAGTAACTTGAGCCTAGAACCCAAGTCTGCCTGTTTCAAAGCCTATGCCAAAACTATTATCAGAACTGCCTCCCTGAACTCTCCTTAAATTTGCATTATAATATGAATACTAAGGAGGCTAAATATTACTTTATTCTACATAGCAAGACTGGGAAGGAAGGTTGGGCAATCTACTTTCGCAGAGATACTGCTGTCGGAAACTCAAGGAGGGGTGGGGTCGCTATGAGTCGCAATCGATTTGAGGGCAGTGAGTTTTTTTTCTTTTGTACCTAATAAAATGTGTAAAAACATCAAACTAATTACATGTGGGGTTTAGAAACTCAAAAAAATAAAACAATGAAAAGAGCTATATTAGGAGTTGGGAGACTTGGAAACTATTCCCAGTTCTACCAGTTTGTGCAACGTGGGTTCAATCATTTAACTTTCACTACCTATTTTTCTTATGTGTACAAGGATGATGGACTAAATAACCCAACTGACTGTAATATACCAACCATGCTTCTACTTGTGTCACCGCTTAAGACAGACCTATCTGGGAAGCAGGAAGAGGTATTTCTCACAAAATACAAATATTTTGAAATTGGAATTCAGATTTACTATGCCAAGATTTCCAAAAAGTGGTACCCTCTAAATAATCGTTTTAATGATAACAATATTAAATAACCAAAAAACAAACCTACTGCTATCGAGTCGATTCTGACTCATAGCGAACCCCATAGGGTTTCCGAGGCGGTAAATCTTTAAGGTGCCCTGTCTTCCTTTCTGCGGAATGGCTGGTGGGTTTGAACTGCCAACCTTAAGGTTAGCAGTCAAACGCCTTAAGCACTGTGCCACCAGAGCTGCTTTTAACAATATCAATTAGCTATTACTTATTTGGCTAAGGTGTTTTACATGCCATATGCATTACCGATCCTTCTGACTCTTAAGGCTAGGCTCTTAACTTTACCTTACCTCACCATAAGCTTTCTTAAGTCACTTTAAGTAATGTGTCTCTTGCGTTTTAATAACAAAACTTACAAATTAGTGATATTTACTAGTAAAAAGTGCCCAGTACAGACACTAGCACAACGCGAGAACTGAATAAATGGTTACTCTTACTTCATCATTATTAACAAGACTTCTTACATAACTCAAAATCCTGTCTGGGTAACATTACACCAGCACAGGAAGTGCTGTGATCCACATTCATTTTAAACTGTAATAGATACCAAAGCATCCCCAAATTAGGGATACTTCGGGCCGAAAGCACTCTGAAACAAGCAACAATGTGCTTATACCGACTGCCGCTCCTAACCACATACTAAAATGCAAACAACAAAGTTACTTTCTGGATTTACCCACCTTGACTTTCCTTTGAACTTCGCACTCTAAAAATACGCTAAAACATTAACAAAAATCAACAACATAAGCCTTGCTAGGGAATATATACCCAGACCACCATAGCACTTCTTGAGAAATTGACACTGGGGCACCGGGCACACATTCAGTGTCACGCAATGCAACCCAACAAGGGCCGGACAGCAACCCAAAGTGTCAGAGGCATATCGGGGCCCTTAGTGGCCAGCTGTAACCATTCTCACACTCCACCTGTCCACTCCAAGTCAGACAGATGTTTCTGGAAAGTCCAGTTTCAGAGCTGACCATTGGGATCGGGAAACAGTGCTGACCAAGAAAAGGGGCTGAGGAGCGAACCCTCAGAGACAGACTTTCGAAGAGCAAAAGAAGCGACGGCTGGAAGTGTGAGCCTAGACTGGGTACCTTGCGTCCAGCGGCAGAAGATGGTGTCAGAGAGACCGGGGCTGCTCTTGGTGCCCCATACCAGCTCCATCAGCTCTTTAGTCAGTTCGGACATGATGGGGTACGAGCGAGCGGGTCTTCGCTTTCAGAACTCCTACCCCGGAACATGGGGAAGGAGAGACTCGGGAGTTAGGAGTTGCGGCGACTGCGGTGGCAAATGAACTTCAAGGTTAGATCGGAGGACGGCAAAATAAGAAAGAGAGCTACATGCGGGAACACAGCGCCTGTCAAGCCCGGCAGAGAGGAAGCGAGGAGTTTCCCGTACCGGAAGTGCCAGAGCCACTTCCTGCTCTTTAGTTCCGGCCCCACACCCGGGAGGGCTCGGCACCACCTCCTCGGAAACGGAAGTCGGGGGCGGGAGGAGAGGCAGTGGTGTGTGGTGGTGGTTGTTGGGATGTCTGAGCTCAGCCACGGGCTCTTTGATGAGACCCGTAGTTTTTGTATTAAGAGGGGACATGCCGAGGGTGTTAGCGTTATTTGTACCCTCCAGGAACACCACCCCTCTTTCTGTGCAGTATTTTGGTCTCAGTTGGAGGCTCAGGCCAAATCCCGAGTCCTGGTTGTTGTTGTTAGGTGCTGTCCAGTCGGCCCCGACTCATAACGACCCCTATGTACAACAGAAAGAAACACTGTCCTGCCCTGCGCCATCCTCATAATCCTTGGTAGGTCCTAGAACATAAACTTATTACGATTTGTAGCATTATATTAAACTAGAACTAAGATGATGGTTGAGTGACGGTCAGGAAACATGTATCTGTGTAAAGAATTGGCCTCTGAGCCTCGGTCAATCCAACTAATGTCTAAAAATATATCTGGCAACTGTGCCTTAGGAAATGCCTCTACCAGTTGCAATGCAGAATTACACAGCTCTTTTGTAGGTAAAAGCTCTGAAGCAACCTGTTTGTAAATGGTATAGTGTTTTCTTCTCCAATTTTTGAGACCGTATGATGTGTATATAACACTGGAGTAAAGTCCAGGTTTTATTCATTGATTGTTGTTTGTTGTTAGGCGCCATGGAATCCATTCTAACTCAAAACAACTGTATGTGCAGATGTAAAACTGCATGACTCAAGGAGACACCATGTGTCAGAGTAGAAGGGTGCCATAGTTTTTCAAGGCTGTGTGACCTTTCCCAAGCCAATCAGCAGGCCTTATATCCAAATCACCTTTGAGCAGGTTTGAACAACCAACCATTTACTTGGCTAGTAGCCAGGCCTTTAGGTCTTTGTACCACACAGGGACTCTATTCATCTAGTTAAATTTAGTTTGTGTGAAAACTTCTATTTGTGCTGCCTCTAAAGTACATTTATATTGGCTAACCTTTGAATTTAGGAGCTCTGGTGGCACAGTGCCTAAGGCACTTGACTACTAACCAGAAGGCTGGCAGTTCAAACCCACCAGCCACTCCTTGAAGGAAGATGGGGCACTCTACTTCCGTAGTGATACTGCTTTGGAAACCCAAGGAGGGGTCACTATGAGTCGGATCCAAGGCAGTGAGGGTTTTTTTTTTTTTTTTCTCGTAACCTTTGAATTTAAAGTGAGAGGCAAAAGCTGATGGTTTCTTTTTCCATTTTTGTGTTTTTATTTTTGGTGCTGGACAGTAGGGAGGTTTTTTGTATTCCTTAAAAACTATGTGTCTATAGAGACCATTCGCAGGAGAAGGATATCATGCTTGGTGAAGTAGAGGATCAGCAAAGAAGGGGACAAGATCGATTGATACAGTGGCTGTAGTGATGGGTTCAAACATAGCAAGGATTGATAGGATGGCTCAGGATTGGGCAGTGTTTGTTTCTGTTCTACTCAGAATCACTGTGAATTGGAGCTGACTGGAAGGCACTTAACAACAACAGACACTATGTTATCTTGGGATTCAGTATTGCCAGGTTGTTAGAAGGCTACATTCTAGGTCATCCAGGTACCTAGCTTTTGCTTTTAATAGCAAGTTACCTACTTTCCACCTGAGTTTTTTCTCTATAAAACGGGAATAATATCTACTTTGTATATTGTAAGGACTGAAAGGAAAAATGAATGCATGCAAAGAATTTAGCACAGTTCTCTGCACATAGAAAGCATTTATAGAATAATGAGTATTTTTGACCCAAAGAATGCATTTTTGGGAATTTACTACAACACTATAAAGTTTTCTGACTTTTTGTTCATAATGCCTAACCGTTTTTGTATTTTAATGTAATACTTCCCTTATGTTCCCTAATTTCAAACACATGCAGTTTCATATAGAGGAATACCTTTGCATTGACTAATTAAAATACATTAACCTTAATTTAAGTAGCTCTGGTGGCACAGTACCTAAGGCATTTGACTGTTAACTAAAAGGTTGGTGGTTCAGACCCACCAGCATTTCCGTGAAAGGAAGATGGATGAGTCAATCTACTTCAGTAAAGATTTACTGCCTTGGAAACCCAATGAGGGTCGTTATGAGTTGGAATCAACTTGATGGCAGTGAATTTGGTATTTATTTCAGTGAGTAACCTTAATTTAAAAACTTCCATGTTGAAATGGGGAGGGTTTTGCTATTTTATACTTTATTTCTGACTTCAACACCCTTTGCTATAGTTAAAAGAAATTGCTCACTGTGCCTGATTCTAATTTATGTCTTTCCTCTTGATTTTTCTTACCCTTTGGATACCCTTTACTCTATTTTTACAAACTAAATTTCACCCATTCTTAAGGGACAGAATATAAATGCCACTTTCTAATAAAGCATTCTCTAGTCATTACAATCTAACATATAATTATAACTTCTGGAATACCATACTACTTTATCTGTAACTTGCTTATGGGAATTACTATCTTTCTTGTATTTACAAAGAATTATTTACTTTTCTCCTGAGATCAAGCTATATGAAAGCTTAAGACGTATCTTATTCATAGTGCCTAACATGGACTCTTGAACACCACTAGGTCTCAATAAATATTAGCTGAACAAATGAAACTTGTCTTTGCTAGAACTTAAAAATTCACTATTTTTCAACAAGTGAGGGATCAGAGGAAGTGGTATTTGCATGGTGATTTACAGTTTACATAAGTTTTTCATTATCTGAAAAACATAGAAGGATTTATGTTCATTGATCCCAAGGTGGCAGATCTCTAAGGTCAAAGGTATTTGCACTATAGCACATTTGAATAGATTTCATTACCTGTCTTTACTGAACCAAAAAGCAAACTGTTGCCACTGAATTGATTCTGACTCATGGTGACCCCGTGTATTACAGAGTGGAACTTCATTATAGAATTGTCTTGGCTATATTTACAGGAGCTTTGGTAGCGTAGTGCCTAAGGCACTTGACTGCTAACCAGAAGGCTGGCAGTTCAAACCCACCAGCCACTCCCCAGAAGGAAAGTTGGGCAATCTACTTCTGTAGTGATACTGCCTCGGAAACCCAAGGAGGGGTTGCTGTGTGTTGGAATAGACTAGACAGCAGTGAGTTTGGTTTTGGTTTTGGGAACTTTCTAAATTAGCAAAACATATTTTTAACACAATATTTCATTAATGTTAAATTATTGCTTTAGTATTCATTAGTTTTAACATAAATTGTAAACTTGCTTAAACTATAATAGAAAAACAAATTTTCTTAATAATTATAAAAATAATAAATACTGCAAGCTGACTGGCTTGCTGCACTTACATGTGGTGCTGGAAAATAATATCTTTTTTTTTTTTTTTAATAATGACTCGATAATTATGTTAATTTTTACCAAAGTAGTATTTATATTGCTCCATAACCCATTGCTGTTGATTCATTTCTGACTCACTGTGACCCTTTAGGACAGAGTAGAACTGTCCCATAGGGTTTTCAAGCCTGTAAATCTCTAGGAAAGCAAATAGTCACACCTTTCTCCCACAGAGTGGTTGGTGGGTTCACACCTTTCAGGTAGCAGCTAAGCACTTTAACCATTGTGCCATCAGGGCCCCTACTAGATGTTAAGAATTGGCAGCTTTGAATTTAAAGTATATGGAAAGAGTGGGGAGAAAAAGAATGTTGAGCAAGAATATAGAGTAGAGAAATTTAGCATCATTCTTTTGTAAAACAGAAGAAGGTCATTTACCCCTTTATCACTTACTGTTGCTTTCATTATAAGAGCTCTGGTGACATAGTGTTTAAAGCATTAATCTGCTGACCAAAAAGTCAGTGTTTGAACACACCACCAGCTCCATGGGAGAAAGATGAGGCAGTCTTTATGGCTTCCATAAAGATTTACAGCTTTGGAAATTCTATGGGGCGGTTTTACTCCGTCCTATAGGGTTGCTATGAGTTGGAATCAACTTGCTGCTAGTGGGCTTGTTTATTATTATTTGTGTGTGTGTGTGGTATTGACATTATGAAATTAGAAGATCAAATGGAAATTTGTACATTAATCCCAGTCTGGATATATTAAATTAAAAACCAAAACCAAACTCATTGCCATTGAGTTGATTCTGACTAACAGCAACCCCCACTGGGTTTCTGAGGTGATAAATCTTCCCAGAAGTAGATTGCCCCATTTTCCTTCTGCAGAGCAGCTGGTGGGTTTGAACTGCCAACCTTCTGGTTAGCACTCAAATGCCTTAAGTACTGTGCTACCAGAGCTCCAATGAATAGATTAATTGAACATAGAATATTTGCACACACTTAGATGTGTAATGTTGTTGTTACGTGCCATCAAGTTGGACCCAACTCATAGTGACTTTTCCTTGGGTTTCTGAGGCAGTATCACTATGGAAGTAGATTGCCCAACCTTCCTTCTGAGAAGTGGCTGGTGGGTTTGAACCACCAGCCTTCTGGTTAGCAGTCAAGTGCCTTAGGCACTATGCTTCCTCAAACTCAATATGGGCCAAATATTTATTCCCCTAAAGCTTGGTCTTCTTTCAGTATTTCATATCTCAGTGATCTATAAGCAAATTAATTTGTTTTATATTCTAGATCTCAATACAAAGAATAAGCTATCTCTTTGAGGCTTTGTTACCACATTAATAAAATGAGCTTAAAATAATTATTTCATATAATTATTGTGAGATTTAATAGAGAACATTATATATAAAAGAATATATGAACATTGAAAAATATTGCTTTTCTGTAGCTATATTAATAGTCTGAACAAAGTACCATGAGAGCAAAGAAGGAAGATGAATTATTGAAGACTGGGAAAATTTTTGACTTGAGAAGAAGAGAAAGATGTGCACTTTAGCATGGAATACTATTGTGGCAGGAG